CTGAATGATATCTTTGACATCCTCCCACAACTCATCTGGTCTTCGCTCATTAGTGTTCAAGGCCTCAAACCTGTTCCTGAGATGATTCTGAAATGTGCAAAGGTAAAAATTAAACCAAAGATCTATTCCACACCTGGGAAAAGCTGGATTTAAATATAACTTGCTATCAGGATATGAGAAGAACATTAAAAGTGGAGGAGGGAAAAGATATTCAATATCTGAATAACATAGCTTTTGCTGTACAGAAAAAATTTATTAAATGAATATAATACTGGGATTAAATGCATCATAAAAATAAGGAAAAAAAACCCCTAAATTCTAAATATAAGTGGTAAGTGGTTGACTTAAATAACAAGGTCATTTTTCACCCATTCAAAACTTCAAATATCATCTTCTTAAAGACCAGATTTTAAAAATGTGTCAGACATATATAGCACTATAATATCTGGAATTTAGCAAAAATCTTGTTTTATTAGACTGAAAATGGCATTGATTTAAATAGTTAATGATTGTTCTTTTACAACCATTTGTAAGGTCTTGAATAATTTTTAATAAACAGGTATATACCAATTTATTATATTGTTTTCAAGGATAGTAAACACAGTTATATACTTTACCTATTATGTATTTTGATAAAGACTAATGAAAATTTTGGTACTTTGGTAAAAGGTAGTCTCCTTTATAGATCAAAGGTTAACAATAGCCATTGATCTATCTCAGAATTTTAAATGATCTTTTTAATATGTACATCAAGATACAGTCATGTGCTACATAACTTCAGTTTAGACAGAATCTTACTGCATATACTTGTGTGGTCCCATAAGAAAATTCAGAAACCTCCATTGGAGAACAAAATGCACAAATAGAACAGTTTTTCATATGCAACACACATCTCTCTAAAGAATACAAAGTAACTGTGCTGCTAGGAGTATGACGGTACTGTATCTATACATAGAACCTGTAACATAATGACTTATATATGTGTTGGGCTTCCTACCTACAGTTTGCCATATAACAATGTATGCAGCAGCACTGATTTTTGCAAAATGTGTGTCTCTTCAGTGTTGTACAGTTATCTTTTTCTTTTGAAAATACTATTGTGAAATGTATTGTGGCTTCAAATCTCAGCAAAATCAGTGCTGGTGGTAGCAGCAGCAAAAGGCAAACAAGTATTGATTTGGTAGTGAGACAAAGACTATCAAAGAACTTGAAGTCAGAAAAATCAGTGAATACTACTGCTCATGATTTAGAAATGTGGTACTTGACAGTCAGCAAAACCAAAAAAATTCTTCCACCTGTCAAAGAAATGGGTTCACGAAAAGTTACACGTTTTGAAGAAATGCTTGCAATCCTAATTGTCTATCTTCTAAGAAGTCGGCATTATAATTATCTTTAAACCAGCGTTTTGGTGGAAGTGCTAATCGAAAGCCTGGAAACATCTTTTAATTTGTCATTAAGTCTAGAGAAGTCAGTGTATCTTCTAAAAACTACCCAGATTTCTTCTGGGATTTTCTTTACTAGTATTTTGTAAACAGTAAATTTAGCTCTTTCTTCCATCACCTCATAACCCAAGATAGTAGGTGTAGATGGTCTATCTTCCCAGCTGACGCCTTCAGGATTTTATTCTTCATTTTCTCCTGGTCTAGCAGAGTACTCAATAGAAGATTCTGTACACATATTTGAGTCTTCTAACTGGCCTTTGGAAGAGTTTGAGCTTGTTGAGACACTCCCAAAAGAAGAACTTCTTTGGTTTCTGTTGGTTGTAAAGCTGGAAGAAGAATTTCCTATGGGCATAGGAACTGGGACATAGGGAGTTGCCATCTTCTTTAGGCCTTTGCGACAAAGACCTGCACACAGTTCACTTAGAGAATGAATATGCAATCCATCATGTTCTGAGAAGTTCAACGTCTCAGTCTACTCCGTGGTCCCTCGCCAGCTCGCTTCCCGGGGACGCTCTCGCCGGACCCTCCGCAACCGCAGCTTGCCGCCTCTTCCCACAACACCGCCAGGCCTCACGTGATCGTGATCGCAGCCCCGAAGGCGGCTGTTCCTGCCTTCGCCCGCCGCGGCCCGCCCAGCACCAGCTTCCCGGCCCGGGCGCCACAACAACAGTATTTGATTATATTAGTAGAAATGGAAACAATCACTATCTATTCTTTTCAAAAATCTTAACTTGGGTACTTTTATTGGATACACAAGAATAGGCAGCAAATTTCTACCCCAAGACTATTCAGCAGGACTCTGTTTGTTGTTCGTTGCCTTGATGTCAGCTCCAGGTCTAGAGACCCTAAGTCACTCTGCTGGATCCTTCGCTATCCTCACAACCCCTGCTCTGATTAAGCCCATTATTTTGCATTGTTTTAATCTTTTTTAAGCCCATTGTTGCATTCTCTGTGTCAGCCCATCTCTTTGAGAGTCCTCCTCCCTTTCACTGACCCTCTAATTTCCCCAGCATGATGTCCTTTTCCAGATGAAGACCTCTTCTGACCAACAGCATGCCCAAAGTATGTGAGACATAGCCTCAGCCTCTATCTTCCTATGGAGTGCTCTGGCAGCACTTGTCCAAGACATACATATTCTCTTCACGGTCTAGATTCTATTCTCTCTTCCTTGCCAACACCACTATTAAAAAGCATCACTGTTCTTTAGTCTTCCTTATTGTCCCACTTTACATGCTTATGAAGCAATTGAAAATATCAGGGCATGAGTCAGGCACACCTTCTTAGTCTTTAAAGTGATGTTATTACTTCTTAGCATTTTAAAGAGATCCTTGGCAGCAGATTTGCCAATACAGTACCTTCCTTGATTTCTTGACTGCTGCTTCCATGGGCATTGAATATGGGCCAAGTTAAATTAAGTCTGTGACATTTCCATTTATCACGATGTCGCTTATTTCCAAGTTGTGAGAATCCCCCCCTTTTTTAATTAATTTGCGCACAAAGTTCATATACATTGTGTTTCACAATATTCTTCATCGAGACTGTGTTTCATATAATCATTCCCATGGATTATGTTTTATAAAATCAATCACCATTGGGCCTTGCCCATCATTACTTAATCTTTTCAGGTCCCTGCCTGGTCCTTCCCATTTCGTTCACCCCCATCCTCCACCCACTAAACTGTCCCCTATCCATCCTCACCCTTCTGCTCCCACCCCTTCCTCACGTGGCTCCCCATTCATGTTTTACTAGTTATCCTTCTATTTTTACAATAATCAATAATGCTCTTACACAGTATTTGTCCTTATAAGACTGAGTTGGTTCACTCAGCATTATGCTCTCCAGCCTCTCCCAAGTTATGTAGTATTTTTTTTAATCACTGCTCTTGAGTACTGCGTAGTATTCCATGGTGTGAATATACCACAATTTCTCAATCCATTCAGTTGTAATTGGACATTTGGCTGTTTTCATGTTCTTGCAATGATGAATAATGTTTCTGTGAACATTGGTATGCAGGTCTCCATTTGTGTCTCAGTTATAATTTTTGGAGTATATTATTAGTAGTGGAATAGCTGGATCATATGGAGTTTCTATGTTCAGCTTTTTGAGGGAATACCAAACTGTCTTCCAGAGCAACTGGCACCATTTTACAATCCCACCAACAGGGTATGAGAATTCCCACTTCTCCACATCCTCTTCAATATTTATTGCTTGCTGTCCTGTTAAACGTTGCCACTGCTGCTGGAGTGAGATGGTATCTCATTGTGGTGTTGCTTTGCATTTCTCTTATTGCCAGTGATTTTGAGCATTTCTTCATGTGTCTGTTGGCTATCTGAATGTCTTCCTCTGTGGAAATCTTCCCATGTCTTTTGCCCATTTTTGTGATTAGGTTATCAGTCTTTTTCTTCTGGAGCCCCAGGAGTATTCTTAAGTAAAAGTTTCTTTGTAGACCCTTGTCTGAGATAGCTTTGCCAAATGTTTGTTCCCAGTTGGTAGGGTTTCTTTTCACTCTCCTGAACTTCTGTCTCAATTTTTATCCCCTGACATTGAATTCTAATCCATACTGAATTCTGTACTCTGATTTTCCTTAGTAAGTATTTCACATCCTCCTCACTTTGAGCAAGCAAGGTTGTGACATCTGCATTTTGAAGATTGTTGATGAATCTTCCTCTGATCTTGATGAAACAATATATTGTCTTATGCACCTGTGCATCTATGGGCCTTATAAAATTTTGGCCTTGGAGTACTTTTAATCTACAAAGTAGCTTGATTCTTACTTACTGTAAAAGCTTTCTGTAGCATATTTTTAAACAGACTTCATAGGAAGTAATAGCAAATTTATATCCAGATTTGCTGCCAGAAGGGAAGTGCATCCTTGAGACATCCTTGGAGCTGTGGACCTCTGAAAGACTGAACTCAGGAAAAAACAGGAGATATGGCCCAGGGACAGACACCAGGTCAAATAAGCCTGGATATTGAATGAGCCTCTCACTCCATCAGAAAGACCCGCAATCATCAACACATCAATGCATTTAGCATGCATCGCCAGCGATGAGTTAGTACCAGCCTGCACCCCACTGGACAGGCCACACAGGCAGCTCTAGCACTGTACCGATCTCCACCATCCATATGACCATTTCCAATTGTTTCATCCAATCAATCAAACTTCATCCATGTCTTCTGTGTGGTCCTGATGATGTTAGGCTGCGTAAGAGTTCTCCAAAACTGGGAGGTCTATGAGGCTGGCTCTGCCAAGATGCTGTTTGCCACCTTGTCACTTAACTCCTTCAGCTGTACAAGGCTTGCTCCTTCAGCCCTGCTCTGTGCTTCCTTTCCAGAGGACACCACAGCCAACAAAGATTCTGGTCAAGAGTCGGAGTCTATTCCAGAATACACAGCAGAAGAGGAGCGGGAAGACAACCGGTTGTGGAGGACGGTGGTGATTGGAGAGCAAGAGCAGCGGATTGACATGAAGGTCATTGAGCCCTACAGGAGAGTGATTTCACACGGAGGTAGTCAAGTTTGTACTAATCCTGGGAATGGGAAGATGGGGCAGATCATTCTATTAGAAAACAAAGCCAGAGTCTTTTCTAACATGACATCCCCAATATCCTATCCATAGCAATGCTCATGGAGACAAGAGGGCTAGTATACAACATTATAAGTAATTCCCTTAAGTATGGGAAAGTCTGCTATGGTAAAATAACTTTCCAAAGTAAAAAATTGCTTTTCACACCATATCTAACATTAACATTTACCATGCAAATCTGCGGAAAACCATGGTCATCCAATTTAATAATATCTACATGGAATTTATAATAACTGGCAATAGGGTCTAAGTAAGTACTTCTGCAATATGTAACACTTTGGCTTGTAGTTAAGATCGTTCCAGCAGAAGTACTTCTAAATTATTTTTTAAAACTTATCTGAATCCTTTTCAGAAGCTTTAGGAAGTCATTTCCAGGGTCAGCCTGGTATTTTTCACCCGACTTGACCCCATATTTGAAGCTTGCTTTTCGGGACTCCTTTAAATGCATGCCTGACAGCAGCCAGCCCTGGTCAAAGGCTCCACCTGCTTAGTGAGGGACAGAGGAGGGAGGCAGCTGCATTTAATATTTCGAGTATTGTCTTGGGGCTATAGCAGCATATGTAGCCTTGATTAATTCTGGGTTCATAAAAAGTCAGAGAAGCACAAGCAACATATTTAATAGCATCACCTTGAGAAAACATAAACAGGTCCATGATTTCTGCTGCATGCCTTCCTTTCCTGCTGTCCCAAGCACCACCCTCAACACCCAGCTGTTCCAGAGAAAGTACAAGCTGACATGACAATCATTGTTCCCTCTTCTGTCTCTCCCCTAATTAAGACAGGGAAATAAGGACGTGCCACTGCAGTAAATGCATTGCTTGTTTTCTAAGGGCAGAAGAACATTTTGTTATTTCAGTCAAGCCCTCCTCCACCAGCAGATTTTACACCATCCTGTGTCTTACAATCACAGTGTAATATCAGGACCCCCCCCCAGGGAACCCAACTATGACAGGCTGCCCCTGCCCGTCACCTTTTTTTATTGCCTCACTATTTGAGCAGAAGTCCTGGATGATGCAATAAGTTTAAAGGCCAAGCAGTCTGAGTTCATCCAAAGGAAGACAGGAATGGTCATCTCCTTCCAAATCTCAGCCACTGAAAACCCCTTGGAGCCCTCATCTTTTCTGACATACACGAAGCTGTCCTGAGGAAGAACTCCCTCAGTGAAAAGGTAGCACGGCTCAGGGGTGACAGCGTTGGGCCTTTCCTCTGAGGCCTTTCAGCGTTGAAATGATGATTGACCTAGTCTTACTGGAAATAAGGAGCTAATTTAAAGTGACAGACACAGTTGACATTTTTCAATGAAAAGCTGAACCTTGTCAAATCTTCCCAGAAAGCTCAGCCATTTTTGCACCACCCATGAGATATTTTTTGGCCTATTTGCTTTTTGGACAGCACTTTCAAAAGAAAATTTTAAAAGACTGCTTATAAAAGTCAGTGGTGCTTGGTTTGGTTTTAAAAAAAAAATGTAAAGCTGTCAGTATAAATGTAAAGTCTGTCAGTATAAATCAGTGTCCCAGTGGTAATCTCAATAAACATTTCTACCCTTCAGTTCATAAGAGCACCCTTGTTGTGAGGGAGGCCGCCTCACTGTGGGCCCCTTTCCTGAGGTGGAGTTATTGTTCATTACCTCAGGAGACTCTGCTACCTGTGCTCGCTGAAATCGGGAGAGCAGGGTGGGTGTTGAGGATATGGGCCTGTGGCCTGAGGTGGTAGAGGGCAAATTCCCCTCAGACCACAGACCTCACCTGGTTTGCTGTGTTCTCCATTCCTTCTAACCCTCTCCTCGGCATCCACACCTCTCCTTTCTGTGTCCTAAGGTCATTCTCTTTTCTAAATTTTTTCCCCTCATTTTTTTGTCTGTGTGACTGTCCTGTTTATTTTGAAGGGAGAAGCACATTCTTTCTCCCCAGTTCCGCCTTGCACCAGCTGCATGACTGTGCCTTTGGCTGTACCCACCCTGGGCGTTAACGAGATGCCACCTTCTCCTACACCCTGAACGGCTTTTTTGTTCTCTGTGGTAATGAATGATAAGCTCAGGTGCGACTTCTGAATTGACCCAAGCTGTGCTTTCTTCTTTATGGCAAATACTGCTTTCTCAGACTTTAATGATGGTAAAGCGATAGCCCTTAGTTAATAACTAATTGAGCTTGTCATCCTGGATTCTGAGGAACATTTAAAAATTAGCAGTTCATAGTGAGCATTGACCTTGTGACCTTTTGCATTTTGCTATGAGGAAGTTTCCCTACTCAGGCCAGCAGCAAAGTAACAAGTGTTCTCTGCAGTACAAGCAAGGTGGGTGTGGTGGGGAGTTGTGTACACCAGAAGCAAGGCTAGATGCTGAGGAGTAGCCCTGCCAGTCGGGAATACGGGGCAGGCCAGGAGTATTTAAGCAAACAGTTCAGCCTGTTTTTGCTTCAGTGATCTTGGTAGGAGATGCTTCCCAGGGCCCTGACTGCACTAAGAACAGTGACGTGGGCCTGTTCGTCTTTGACACCTGCTAGATCTTACTAGGCCTGGGTTAGGGAGCTCGGATGGCATGGTCCATAGGAAGTTGTGTTCCTAACCCAAAGGTAGCACTTTTCTGTTTGAATCCACCAGCTGTTCAAAGAGAAAACATGGACAGTCTTCTCCTATGAAAATTGTGGTCTCAGAAAATCCACTTTAGGGCCACCTATGAGTCAGTTCCAATTCAAAGGCAGTGAGCTTGAGTTGTTGTTGTTGTTGTTTTTGCTTGGTTTTTTGTTTTGTTTTGACACTTTGGTTACCTCACGTTAACTTCTCAGGACCTCAGTTACTTAATCAGTATAACTGTCACTGTCCTAAAGCCAGTGTTCACATACTGTAACCCACGGAACCCCTCCAGGGTGTAAATGGTTGAGCACTTGTCTGCTAACTGAAAGGTCAGCAGTTCAAGTACTCAAAAGAAAGTCTGAAAATCCATTTCCCGAAATCAAGTGTTGAAAAGCCTGTTGGAACACGGCCTGCCATGACCCATGGAAGGTTAGCAGGCTTCAGAATGGCTCAGTGGCAGCTGGTTGATTAGTGCCTGTACAGCATGTCTGCCCACAACTTAAATAAAGAAGCAAGGACAGGTGGGTGTGACTTTGATCAGTCAGTTGTTGGTTGGGTGGAGGATCACCTTGAGACTAAAACTGCCTAGTTTAAACTTGGAGCTGAGAGCACATAAATAACCAAGGACAGTCATGTCAAAGCATTGTAACAAGGAGTTTCTTTCTTTCTTTTTTTACTTCTCTTATTTCATTATAGGAGATTCAGGTAATCTTCTCTGCAGTGTTCCTGGGGAAAAATGATCCTGGGAAGAATGAGAAGAGTTGCTCCCTGGTGTGTGTGTCTGTGTGTATGTTTGGTGCGACTGTGGCATCTCTCCTCTGTCTCCATTCCATTTGCTGGCCAGCAAACTTGTGTTCCATCCCTTCCATGTCTCCCTGTCTTATGCCAGGTAAGGTTTACCACCACTGCCTTGGAGGGTCTCGGAAGGAGCAAGGTGGGGTGACTTAGACCCCTCAGCACATTGGCCCTAACAACGTTCACTCTCTGCTTATTAAAACTAGAGTTCAATAGGGTAAGTTTTAAAAAGAATAGTCCTGAAATGGATTGTGCTGTAGCCAACAGGTATCTTCACTGGTGTGCACTCTCTGCTTAGAACAGAAACTGAAGGTTCCACGGACTCCCTTGGAGGCATCTGGAAGGGACAAGAAGCAAATGGTCCCAATTCATCCTCCTAATTGCGCTTTGACAGAAATTACTATCTGAAAATCACCAAAGGCTGACAACAATGCGGTCAACTCTTGGTTCAGGAGGAAAACTCAATGTGGAAATGTTTTTTTTTTTTTATTATTATTTCCTTTCTTACATTATCTCCTTTTCCTGTTTTCTCTTATCTCTTTTGACATATCTTCCTTTTCCACATGGAGTTCTGGTGTTGTGATAGGGTCAGTGTCAGGCTGCTAATCAGAGGGTTGGCAGTTTGAACTCAGCAGTTGCTCTACAGGAGAAAAATGAGGCAGTCAGGCCCCTCCTCGTAAAATGTATGGCTTTGGAATCTGACGGAGGGTCAAAATCAATTCAGGGACGGTGGGATTTTTGTGTCCTTCCTACTTAAATGTTGTTGTTGTTGTTGTTGTGTACCATTGACCCATGCTGACCTTTTGGCAGGTTTTCAGAGGCAGTTAATTGCATAGGAAGAGATTACCCATCCTCCTCCTGCTTTGTCCTAGTTAAAAGTTAGGTGCCATAGAGTCGCAGATTACTCATAGTGACCCTATGAATGAAAGACCTGAACACTTGTATAACTTTCATCATTTCTCCAAGTTCATAGGGTTTCCAGAGGCAAGCTATTTCAGAAGTGGATGCCACTCCTGCTTCCAAGCTTGTTTTAATCTGCAAGTTCCACTAAACACTGTCTACCTTGAGTAACTGTTATCACATTTGGCACATCAGTGTCACAGTGTTTAGCATCACAGCAACCAGAGTTACCTCTGTATAGCAAATGGACAGGCTAGTGCTATACCACTTAGAAGAATGTTTGGCCAAAAACAATTAAAATCAGCCTGAGGGCCCAAATGCATTTTTAAATGGGAGGTCAAATACAACCAACTCACACCCAAAAGTAGTTAACATTCCACCCTAATCCTCACCAGAACCAGAAAACAAACCTCTGTAGAATCTGGCCATTCCAGTCAACTTCCAGCCCCATACTGCTGACCAAATACTTTTTTAAATAGGATACCAGATACAATCAACTCCGCCCAATAGCAAACATTCCACCCTAATCCTCACCAGAACCAGAAAACACACCTCTGTAGAATCTAGACATTAAAAAAAAAAATCCATTTTGTTTGTGTACATCAGTAATTTACATAAAAAAACATGTCTTACCTTGAAATGCACACTACATGGCAAGGACAGACAGTAATGGCTCAAAGAATTGAATGATCATTTAAGATGACTTTTCCAGTAATGTTTATAAACCTTAGGCTCAGCACTTCTTTAGAAACAGGTAAGGAAGCCAAATTAACTGATTAGTCATGATCTGGATCATTATTCTGAGTCCAGCAGCTGAACAGACTGAACCCACTGCTGTGAATCATTACATCGCTCCCCTGTGCTTTCTGGGCTGCACGTCTTTCCAGCAGACACTGCCCAGCTGTCCATTGTTACCGGAGGAGACTATCCCCAGAGAGCTGGCGGGCTCAGTTGGCAGCAGGCACTGTGGCATCAGGACTGCCTGAAGCCAGGCAACAACATTTAGGGAGACGCTTTGGAAAGGAAGCTTCTCTCTTGGTTTTTTAAGTTAGACTCAGATCTAATGAACAGACCATTGCTATACCACTTAGAAGAATATTTGATAAAAAACAATTAAAACCAGGTCTGAGGGCCATAGGCCTGAGAGCCCAAATGTATTTTTAAATAGGAGGCCAAATACAACCAACTTACATCCAATATTCCTCACCGGAACCAGAAAACAAACTTCTGCAGAATCTGGCCATTCCAGTAGACTTCCAACCTGAATTCCAGCCCCATACTGCTGACCAAATACTTTTTTAAATAGACCATTAAATATGATCTCTTTTCATTAACTGAGTCTTTGTTACTGTTCTGTGTCTGTCACATACATTTGTGGTCTCATACCTGTTGGTGGTAGTGGTGATGTAATAAGTGACCCTCTAGTGAGTTTTCAGAAACAGAAAATTGTACAGGAGGAGATTGCCCATCTTTCTTCCATGAAGCAGCTAGTGGATTTGAACCACATGCCTTTGTATTGGCAGCACACTCATTAGCTAAACCATCACCTCTTTTGTGGATTTCTATTTAGATACATAGGTGAACTTCCTTCCCCTGTCATTTCCTTTCATATTGCATAGTAAATGGAAGCTGATAAATGCGTATTGGAAATTGTGGAAATGAAAGCAAAACTCGCAGGGGAAAACTATTACAGCTTTGTTCCACAAACTTGTATATATTTACACCGGGTATATACTTATTTAGGTAACATCTGTATCTAAAGTATATCCTTTACATAGGTAATATGTACTATAAACACTGCACACAACAACCTCAAATTAGTAATACAACCAACCCATAATTTGGTGTATTTTTAGTTGCTATCTTTCTCCCTCCGCCTCCCCCCCCGCCCCCCGTCAAGTCATACTCTTTGTTTAGAACAACTCATTAAAGTTCTTTTCAAGTTAAGCTCTTGCAAAGCAATTCTCAACTACTATGTTACTGCCATGGTAGTCTCCAGAAAGGATATTTAGAGTTTGTGGAAAAAAAAAAACATTAATCAGGGTGAGTTCTGGGAGGGTCAACCATGAGGGTGTGTTCTGTCCTTTAACTCAAAACTTTAAAGACATCTTTATTTGATAACTCTAAAGTCCAGAAAATGTATATGACAGAATTTACAAGTATGTAACAGGGAATATAAAAAATATGAAAATACAGTGCATCATTTCCACATATTAAGTGTGGACAGCTCAGAAGCTTTTCCACACCTGCCTGAAGGGCTTTTACCAGCAGCTGCTGTGAATTTCAAAGGTGACCTCCAAGGAGGCCTAGAGTTTACTTAAAAGATAGAGCAAAGCCACAGTTACTTGAGCGCTTTCAGAGAATGGGTAAGTGTTGTAAGATGTATTTACGTTGACCTTGACCCTAAATTATTTCAATGCTCACACTTGCTTCCATTTCCCCCCTTATTTTCTCACTACCACCTGAAAACAGTGCCCATTACCCCATGTTACTAGGAAGCAATTCTAAAGTTTTCCTCAAAAGTACAAGTCTTCATAAAATTTAAGAAAAGTAGTACTCTTCTTGAGTTAGCCTTTTTCTTTAAGAGATACAACTCTGAATCCTGCATCCTGTTGTTTTCAGCCTAGTCAGAACTTTCTATGGGTGCCCTAGACCTTATCAAGTCCAGAAGTCCCAGGAGACCCATAGGCAAGCGCACCATAGACACTGAAATGAAAAGAAAGGTGCTATCTATTCTGTTGTGTGTATATCTGAGACTGTAGTATAGTTCAACGACTAAACTTTCCCTTTAAATTAACTGGAGTTTAAGCTTGAAATAAGATAATGAGGAAAGAAAACCCCTTTCTTTACCATTAAAGGAAGGAAATATTATATAAATTAACTTTTTAAATAGTTTTACATGAATTAGAAATCTATAGGTCAAAAAGTGTTGGCTTCTCATCTGTTGATTATTTGTAAAGGCCATTCATGACTAGGACGGGCACCTCTGCTTTGGTAAGAGCCAATGGGAATGTTTGGCTGTGAAGGAGTGTGGAATGAAGGGCCTCATGGAGTACCTTGTGTTTTTTAAATTTCGAGAAGGCCTAGTGTTGTTATATTTTGGAGGAAAAGACCTTTAAATCATACAATAGTCTTCTGTCATTTTGCCATATTGACCTAATCTGAGTTTGCTATGATGATGAGCCTTATGTATTTTGAGTGTTAAATGCCATAACGATTGCCCATGGTGGACAGAGCTCCCAGTTTAAGATTGGTTTGGAAGCAGGAGTGGCATCCACTTCCTAAATTACCTGCCTATGGAAATTCAGTGAACTTGGAGAAATGACAATAGTTCTAGAAAGACTTCGCATTTTTTTTGTTCACAAAGTCGCTATGGGTCGTCATCGATTCAGTGGCAATCAGCAACAACAACATTAATACTACACTTAACACATTAAAACATCCATAATATCAATATTTGCACATATGGATATGCAGCAATGTTTTTACTGTGCACAAGGAGCCCTCAATTTAAAGCACATTTGAATTATGATGAACTTGGTTTAGCCCTCATTACCTTTTATGATTCCTTTATTTTCTTTGTATGTATGCCCATATTCAATGATATAAATTTACCTGTGATGTTTTCAACCTCCAAAGACTGAATTTCTAAACATACTGATAATAAAAAACAATAATAAAAATTGGAAAACCCGTAAACCAGCTTATGACAAGAGTCAATGGGACAGAACTACATCATAATTGGGAATTGCCTCTGTTTAAGACCCTATCTAGCATATGTATCCATTAATATACTATTCTATGTGCATAGATGTAAAGAAATAGGATCTATAATTATGAATACAGAAAGCTCTTTTAGAGATTTTTCTATTTTATTCACATACACACACTCTCCAAGACTTTCTGATTTATCCTGTAGGTTAAATATGTTCTTGCTAAAAGCTTTCACTTGGTTACAAATGTCTTTTTTGTTTGTCCCCCAGGATACTATGGGGACGGTCTAAATGCCATCATTGTGTTTGCTGCCTGTTTTCTGCCAGACAGCAGTCGGGCGGACTACCACTATGTCATGGAAAATCTTTTCCTGTGAGTGATCCTTATGACAAAGTGCTTTGAATTAATCACAGTGGGCATGGAATGGCAGATAGAGTGCCTTTAATTACAAGAGAATATCCTCAGACTCTTTTAAAAAGTCAATGAACTCCTTATCAAGGAGAAAACATGGCTCAGGAGACTAAATCTCCATAGGAGCTCTGAAGTCAGGAGAATAGATTGAAAACTAAATGAACACATTTTGGCCAGCATGTAACATTTCTATTGGGTGAAGTATTATTTTTGTTCCCTGATAACATGTTCTTAGTCAACTGGCAATAACCTGACTTGGTTTTTATCTGCGCTTATTAATCTTAGTTGCCTTTAATATTTGATAACATTGTTGACATTTTGGAACGTCAGGTTTCTAATCTAAATATTTTACTAATGTACCTGCATAAAAAAGATAACTCAAGGAATAAATGAGCAATACTCACTCACATGGAAATGATCTCAGCAGGTAACTATATTCTTTTCAAGGTGAAAAGGTAATATGCACAACAATTCTAAATGTTCTAAATGCCATACTCCTTGTGATTTAACTGTTATGTAATTATAGTAAAAGTGGAATGAAGCATTTCTTGTGGGAACTAAAACTCTTCTCTGCCTTCTTGTGATCAGATATGTAATAAGCACTTTGGAGTTGATGGTAGCCGAAGACTATATGATTGTGTATTTGAATGGTGCAACCCCAAGACGAAAGATGCCAGGGCTAGGCTGGATGAAGAAATGCTACCAGATGATTGACAGACGGTATTTGGGCATGATTACTTAATCTCTGTTTTGACTCCCTCACTTCTACAGGCATACCTATTTTTATTGCACATTTCCTTATTGCATTTCACAGTTAGTGTTTCTTTACAAATTAAAGATTGGTGGCAATCCCTTGTTGACCATGTTTATAGGCACCATTTTTCCAATAGCATGTGCTCACTTTGGGTCTCAGTGTCACATTTTGGTGATTTTCACACTATTTCAAAACATTTCCATAATGCTATGCATCCTGAATAGACTACAGTACACTATAAGCATAACTTAAATTTGTACTGAGGAAATAAAAAAGTCCATTTGACTTAATTTTATTGGGATATTCAGGATATTCACTTCATTGCTGAGATCTGGAACTGAACCCACAATAGGGATGAGGAATGCTTGTAGATTAAAATCCGTTTTAATCTACCAAAGGTGTAGTTACAGAGTATGTTGTTGTTGTTGTTTGATGCCGTCGAGTCATAGACAACTCATAGCGACCCTATGAACGAACAGCCTGAGCACTGTTCGTACATAGAGTTTCCAGAGGCAAGCCATTTCAGAAGTGGATGCCGCTCCTGCTTCCAGTACATAGTATGAGTGTTTGAATTATTCATCTACTATTAAATCATAATTATAAAAAATAAAATAATTAGTTATAAAAAATAATTTCCTTATTGCTTAGTTCTCCAACTTTGAGATAGAGTAAATCTTCCCAAGATTTCTTAAAATATTGTATTCTCAAGTTTGATCAAATCTGTTTTAATCTCTATATATGCAGTTTCCTCATGGAGTTGCATTTTGAGCTGGTAAAACAACATGCCTATGATTTTTCACTGACACTGCATGACTTTGCCACCTAGCTATATTGTAACTACTATAATTTGAATAGTTTTTATGTTTTTATCAACATTCTCTGTTAATGTAGATGAAAAGTTAACCACTGCTTCATATACTAACTTTGTGTGAATTGGAATTCATATTTATTTTAGTAGAACAAAACATTTTCTTGCTATCTGCAGAGAAATTACGTATGTTTGATGTCTGTGTGTATGGAATCCCCTTAGATGTGACTCCTCAAATAACAACACATGAGTACCCCTACTGCTCACAGATCCACTTTATCATCTAAGCCTTTGAAAGTAGCATCATCAATGCTGAGAAATGTATCTGAAACTCAGTAACATGGAAGTAATTATGTTAAGGCCAGACAGCCATGTTGGCATACTTTTACTGGTTGATTATAAGCGCCCTGGTGGCTGTTGGGTTGCTAACCACAATGCAGTGCACCTCCAGCGGTTTGAAAGCACCATAGGCATGGCAGGAGAAAGATGGCAGTCAGTCTCTTGTCATTGGACTTACAGCCTCAGATATTCAACGGAAAGTCAGTGTAAGTGAGAACTGACATGCCCACAATGAGTTTGAGTTTTTTGGTCTTTGAGTTGCCTTATACAGATGAAATCAAGACTCAATGATATTGAATAACTTGTCTAAGTTGCTACTGAGTGTGTATGTGCTCAAAAAAAGTAGAGATATCCTCTCAGATGGAAAAAGCATTGTTGTTGTTATGTGCTGTCGAGTCGTTTGCGACTCAGCGACCCTATGCACAACAGCCCTAAACCCTGCTCTATCCTGCGCCAACCGCACTGCCTCTGACACACCCATCCCGATTACCCCAGTCACCGAATCAATCCATCTCATAGAGGGTCTTCCCCTCCTGCGCCGTCCCTCCACCCTCCCAAGCATGATGTCCCTCTCCAAGGACCCGTCCCTCCTGGCAACATGTCCAAAATATGTCAGACGAAGCCCCAGAATCCTTGCCTCCAAGGAGTAGCTTGATTTAATCCTCTCCAAGATGAATCTGTTTGTTTTCCTGGCAGTCCATGGTACATTCAGTACTCTTCTCCAGCACCACAGCTCAAAGGCATCAACTCTCCTTCTGTCCTCCCTAGTCATTGTCCAACTCTCTGATGCATAACAAGCGATTGCAAAGACCATGGCCTGTATCAAGCACACCTTAGTCTCCAGAGAGACACCATTATTTAGGCAAAATGTGTCATAATGGCTGTACATACATGTACTCCAAGAATACACCTTCCTATCTTACATTTTTTTCTTCTTCTTGGAAATTACATCTGACTTGCCCAAATTTCTAATTATGTCTCAGAAAAAACATTTGTGTTGGCTCCTCATCGATCTTCTCGTGTAGCCTCAGCCACACCCCTGAGACACAATGGTGAAGGTCAGAGTAAACTGATTTGGCCACATTGGATGCCTGGTGAGCAGGCTTGCTGTTAACTCTGGTAAAGTGGATGTTGTTGCCATCAATGACCTCTTTATTTACCTCAAGTACATGTTCTATATGTTCCTTAATAATTCTACCCATGGTAAGTTCAATGGCAATGTTAAAGCTGAGAATGGGACGCTTGTCATCAATGGGAAAGCCATCACTACCTTCCAGGAATGAGATCCTGCCAACATCAAGTGGGGTGATGCTGGTGCTGTTTATGTTGTGGAGTCCACTGGTATCTTCACAGTATTGGAGAAACATGGGGCTCACTTAAGTGTGGTGCCAAATGGGTACCAATCTCTGCTACTTCTGCTGATGCTCCCATGTTTATGATGGGTGTGAGCCATGAGTAAGAAGTATGACAACTCTCTCAAGATTGTCAGCAATGCCTCCTGCACCATCAATTGCTTGGCCTCCTTGGTCAAAGTCATGCATGGCAACATTGGCATTGTAGAGGGACTCATAACCACAGTCCATGCCATCATTGTCACCTAGAAGACTAAAGATGGCCCCTCTGGAAAGCTGTGGTGTGATGCCCATGGAGTTGTCCAGAATATCATCCCTGCATCTACTGGCACTACCAAGGTTGTGGGTAAGGTCATCCCTGAACTGGATGGGAAACTTACTGGCATGGCTTTCCATGTCCTCACCTCCACAACATGTCAGCCATGGATCTGACCTGTCATCTGGAGAAAGCTTCCAAATATGATGACATCAAGAAAGTAGAAAAGCAGGCAACCAAAGGGCCCCTAAAAGGTACCCTGGGATACACTGAAGACCAGATTGTCTCCTGTGACTTTAACAGTAACAGCCATTCTTCCACCTGGGGTGGGGCTGGCATTGCCCTGAACAATCACTTTGTCAAACTCATTTCCTAGTATGACAAAGAATTTGGCTACAGCAACTAGCTGGTCGACCTCATGGTCCATATTGCCTCCAAAGAATAAAGAGCCCTGTGGACCACCAGACTCAGCAATAGCACTAGGACACACACACACACACACACACACACACACACACACACACACACCCTTAGCTACTGAGGAGTCCTTGCCCCAACTGGATCCCCCCGCCCCCGACACTAAGAATCTCACATCCTTGACACAGTTTCCATCCAGTCCCCCTGAGAAAGGAGAGAGGCTTAGAGAGCCCATCTTGTCATGTACCATCAATAAAGTACACTGTAGTCAGTCAAAACCAACCAACCAAACAAACAAACAAACAACCCACAAAACATTTATGTTGTTGTTAATAATATTCACTCTAAACCTTCCTACCAGGTAATGATAACTTGCATAGAATACCCTAAAATTACATGTATTCTTATTTGGTTATGTATTTTTCTATTGTAATTCTTAGGGGGAAAGGTTAATAGTAATTTTATTTTCCTATTTTTCAAAATAGGTTACGGAAGAATTTAAAATCATTCATCATTGTGCATCCTTCTTGGTTCATCAGAACAATCCTTGCAGTGACACGGCCTTTTATAAGGTATTTTAATAAAAATTAGAGTGTTATTGGCAATTAGATTTTTTTTAAAAAATCTGCATTGTCTTATAAACCTTTTAAAAGGATATTAAAAACCTTTCAAAAGAAAAATAGATTTTTTTTCCTGGAAAGACATTTTAAATTATCAACCAGAAATCCCTAATTAAGAGTGATAAATGTCTCATAAAGAATATTTCTTTATTCAATCATTTTAGAAATATGACCTGAAGATTATGTGCTGTAAACATGAAGCCACAGTGGTGAGCTTTCATTATGCATCAGGAAGAGGAATATGCACTAAATGGAAAGTGATGTGCTGTCTCGTAGAGAACAGAGTAGGGAGAGTGAAATGGGAGAAGTAAGGGCCAACCAAGGACAGAAACAAGAGTGAGCCCTGATCTCATTCCTCCTGGAAGAAAAAAAGGAAAAACCCTACCCATCCTGGGAGGATGTGCATCCTGGGAGGGTGCTTTGTAGAGGCGTACATGGTCACATTTCATCTCACTCATCAGGGCCGTGTTTTCAGAAGAGATCAATCTTTGTACAATGTAATCTTGCTAGTAAAGTTAGAGGGTCCGCCAGAGAGAAGAAGATGCTTAACAAGATGAGTTAGTACAGCAACTGCAACAATGGGGTTAAGCATGATGAAGGTCGTGAGGGTGGGCACAGGATACAACACGGTTCAGATCTGTTATTCATAGGGACTCTGTGATTCATTGGCAGCTTGACAGTGCCTAACAACAGCATACTGAGACTGAGAGTCTACATCAAGAATTTTCCAGAAGAGTTAGCCTTCAAGGTGTATTTTGATGGCCAAATAGATAGGCTAGTGACATCAAGGAGGACAATCCAGTATCACCATTCTGAGAGCAGTGGCATCAATAGCACTAGCTCTGTATCACCCACTATGTCAACTCATGAAGTCTTCCTCCTACCCAGCCCCCCAAAGACCTCCTCCCATAGCAGATGATAGAAAATTCTCAGCAATGTTTAATATCAATTTTAATCATAAGAATAATATGTGATTAACATAGTTGTAACTTGCTTAATTCTAGTATTTCTTAGAAATGTGGATATTAGCAATAAAATTGTAAACTCTACATAGAAGTATATCATTATTGGATTATTAGTAGCTGTACAAAAGCCCTTTTTTTCTCCTTTTCCTTTTTAATGCTTTATTCTCAAAGACATTATTGATAGAGAAGCTTATTAAATACCACTTATCACAATATCCTAGGTAAAACAATAAAGAAATTAACAGAATCAGGGACTGTAAAAAAGTATTGGCAGCTTGTATTGAGTGCAAAAGAAACCATGTGATTGCCGCCTCATTGTCAATGATTCATAACAACAATCTGACTGGAGTGCATAGCTGACCCTCCAGTGGGTATATCCATCCTCCTGTGGAGCTGCTGGTGGATTTGAACCACATGCTTTCAAGGTTGCAGTGCAGATTCTTACCACTAGGCCACCAGAGCTCTTGAGAATGTTTTAGAAAATGGGTGAAGAGTGGGAAAGAACAATGTATATGAACTTTATTAGTAAACCAATACAAAATAAACATTTTATTTAAATATTTTTTTAAAAAAAGATTAAAAAAGTAAATTAGCATAGAGTTTTAACTTTGTAGATCTATTAGTACATACAAGCTGAGCTTGTAAACAAGTGTTTTGATTGTTTAACTATAAGGGGTTTTTTTATGGAAAAAGTACATTTCTGCTGAAACACTGAACAAAAATTTTATAGATAGTGCCTTTGGTATTACCTCCTCCAACAGTATCATCCTGTCATGGATTAAATTGTTTATTCCAAAATATATGTGTCAACTTGACTGTACTATTCTTTTCAGTCAGTTAGCAATTACATAATGATGTAGTTTAGCAATCATGTGATGATGTAATCCTCCTTCATGGTGTTATATGATGCGATCAGCCAATTGTAAGGGGATTAGGATGGAACGCAACAGCCTTGGTCCAAAATAAGGGGAGTTTCCTTATGTGTGGCCTGTATCACTTTTCATCATGCTGTTGTTGTTATTTGCCTTTGAGTCACTTGCTACTCATAGCGATCCTATGCACAATAACTCTGAACCCTGCTCTAACCTGAGCCAATCTCACTGTTTCTGACACACATATCCTCACTTCCCTAGTTACTGTGTCATTCCATCTCATCTGGAGTATTCCTCTCCTTCAACCCCTCTAAGCATGATATCTTTATCCAAAGATTAGCCCCTCCTCCCTACATGACCAAAGTATGTGAGATGGAGTCTCAAAATTCTTGCCTCCAGGAGCAGCTTGGTTTCACCCTTTACAGAACAAACCTCTTGGCAGTCCATGGTATGTTCAAGACTCTTCTCCACTATCACAACTCAGAGGCATCAATTCTTCTGTCATCCTTGGTCATTGTTCAGCTCTCGAATGAATAGCTAGTAATTGGGAAGACCATGGCTTAGATCAGGTGTACCTTGGTCTCTCAGCTGACATTGTTGCTCTTCAGCACTCTGGAGAAGTCTCGGACAGAAGATTTCCCTAATACAATTCACCTTTTGATTTCCTGACTACTGATGCCAAGGATGTTGATTATAAAATCAAGCCAAGCTAAAATTGTTAACTATCTCAATCTCTTTCTTCTCCATCTATCATGATACAGCCAATTGGCCCAGTGGTAAGAATCCTTGTTTTCTTGATGTTGAGCTTCAGTCTATATTTTAAACCACAGTCCTTGACTCTCTGCTGCAGATACTCCAGTCCCTCCTCATTTTCAGCAAGTAAGGTTGTGTCATCTGCATAACACAGGTTGTTGATGATTCTTCCTCCAGTCTTGAAGCCACATTCTGCCTGATGAAGGCCAGCCTCTCAAATGATCTGTTCTGCATAACAATTGAAAAGGTTTGGAGCCAGGACACATCTTTGACACATTTCTTTTCTGATTTTGAATGGTGCAATGTTTCCATGTTCTTTTCTGATGACTGCTTCCTGGTCAAAGCATAGGTTTCACATGAGCACAATCAGATGATCTGGAATTCCCATTCTTCTCAATGTTAGTCACAATTTGTTGAGAGCCACACAATCAAATGCACTTGCATCATCAATGAAACACAGACAGACATTCCTCTGGTACTCTGCTTTTGGCCAAGATCCATCTGACATTGGCAATAATGTCCCTAGGGCCACGGCCTCTTCTAAACTCAGCTTGCATTTCTGGTCATTCTCTGTCCATGTACGGTTCCAGTCACATTTGGATAATCTTTAGGGGGATTTTGCTTGCATGTGATATTAATGATATCATTCTATAATTTCCACACTGTTGGATCACTTAAAAAAAAATAGTTAAATATGGATCTCTTCTAGTCAGTTGGCCAGGTAGATGTCTTCTAGATTTCTTGGCACAGCCTGGTGAACATTCCAGAGCTGCATCTATCTGTTGAAATATGTCAATTTGTATTCCATCAACTCCTGGGGACTTCTTTTTTGCCAATTCCTTCAGAGCAGCTTGACCTTCCTCTTTCATCACCATTGCCTCTTGAACATAAGTTGTCTCATGAAATACTTCTATGTCAACCAATTCTTTTTGGTAGAGAGACTCTGTATACTCCTTCCATCTTCTTTCCATTATTCTGCCCACAGTATCCTTAAGTATTGTGACTCAAGGCTTGAATTTGTTCTTTAGTTCCTTCAGGTAAGAAATGCTAAGTGAGTTTGACCCTTTTGATTTTCCTACTCTAGCTCTTTGCACATTTCTTTATAGTACTTTGCTTTGTCTTTCCAAGCTGCCCTTTGAAATCTTCTGTTCTGCTCCTTAGCTTCTTGATTTCTTCCCTTTGGTTTGGCTTCTCGGTGCTCTAGTATAATATTCACAGTCTCTTCCAACATCCATCTCGGTCTTTTCTTCCTCCTCTGTCTTTGTAATGATCTTTTGCATCTTCATGAATTTCATCATACAAGAGATAAAAAAGGAATAAAAAATTTTTAAAAACCCAAAAACAAATACTCACTACTACAAGAAAGAAGAGCTAGGAATGAAATATGACTTAGGACCAAGGGCACCTTCACTAAGAACCTTCTAGATCCAGGAGAAGATTGATATATAGAGATCACCAAGGAATGCTAAGTCCATAAATGTTGAAAAGAGACACAGTCCTTCCTCCAGAGTTGACAGACAGAAGAAACCTTCCTCTTGAGATGGTGCTATGAATTTGAACTCTAAGTTCCTATTAAACTGTGATAACATATACTTTAAACTGTGACAGCATGTACTTCTGTGCATTAAAGCCATCCACTAGATGTATTGCAGTTATATCATCCTTAAATAACCAAAAAAATAACCACAGTCACACCCCTATAACCTCCTAAAAATTACTTCTTGTGATCATAGCACTGGAAGGAGAGCTTTTCTCCATGTATGACCTCTTCCTCATTCCAACCACTCTGAGTTTTAGTAAAATGTGAGTTTAGCTCAGAAACTCTGGAGAAAGGGATAAATTGAATGAGGATTGTCATCAGTTGTGTGTTTTCCCTAGACGTGACCGTGTGAAGAGGAATGATGATAGTTTCCTCCCAGGTCAGAGCCAATGGCCCAAGGTTAAAACTAGAAGCTCAATATTAAAAGTAAATATATAGAGAAATGACCTTGCAACCTCTTCTTACTAGATTGTACAGTAATCAGCAGACTACTCTGCCAGCTGAGATAGCCTCTTTCATTTTCCAAGCCAATGAAATGATCTATTTTTTTAAAAGTAGGAAAGTATTTATTAAATGGTACAGAAATGTATTAATTTTATAAAAGATATAATCATTACAAATAAAGCCAAATTCCTCCTTCATCATTAATATTTCTTGTTTCTGGTTCCTAATTGCCTGTCCCAGAGGCAATTGTTATTATCAGTTTTATTAGTTTGTTTCTAGATTGCCTTCTCTGGATTTGCATATTACAATGAAATGTGCAAGGAGCTAGAGTTGGAAAATCAAAAGGGCTGAACTCGCTCAGCATTTCTTAAGCTCAAGGAACTGAAGAACAAATTTAAACCTCGAGTTGCTGTAATCAAGGATGCTTTAGGCAGAATATTAAATGATCCAGGAAGTATTAAAAGAAGATGGAAATAATATACTGAGTCGCTGTATCAAAAGGAACTGGCAGACACAGAAGAATTTAACGAAATAACATATGATCAAGAGCTTACAGTGATGAAGGAAGAAGTTCAAGCTGCTTTGAAGGAAATAGCAAAAAATAAGGCCCCAGGAATAGATGGTATACCAATTGGCATATTTCAGCTAACAGATGCTGCCCTGGATGTGCTCACCAAGCTGTGTCAAGAAATCTGGAGAACAACCACTTGGCCAACTGACTGGAAGAGATCTATATTTGTTCCCATTCCAAAGAAAGGTGACCCAACAGAGTGTGGAAACATTTGATTTCACACCCAAGCAAGATTCTACTGAAGATTGTCCAAAAACGACTGGGACAGCACATCAGCAGAGAACTACCAGAAGTCCAGGCTCGGTTTAGAAGGGGTCACGGTACTAGGGATATTGTAGCTAATGTTAGATGGATCTTAGCTGAAAGCAGAGAATACCAGAAGAATGTCTGTGTTTCATTGATTATGCAAAGGTGTTTGACTGCGTGGATCATAATAAACTGTGGCTGACTCTGACAAGAATGGGAATCCCAGAATACTTGATCGTGCTAATGCGAAACCTATACTTGGACCAAGAGGCAGTAGTCAGAACAGAGGAGGGTAATACTGCATGGTTAAAAATTGGGAAAGTCATACGCCAGGGAGGTGTCCTATCTCCATACCTTTTCAACCTGTATGCAGAACAGATATTCCAAAAGGCACTTCTCTATGAGGAGAAGTGTGGCATCAGGATTGGTGGAAGATCTATTAACAACCCTGCTTGCTGAAACTGAGGAGGACCTGAAATGCCTGCTGCAGAGGGTCAAGAACTGCAGCCTTCAGTATGGATTGAAGCTTAATGTCAAGAAGACAAAGATTCTCACCACTGGGCCAATTGGCAGCATCAGGATGGATGGTGAAGAGATTAAGATTGTTAACAACTTTAGTCTGCTTGGCTCCACAGTCAACACTCTTGGCACCAGCAGCCAGGAAATTAAAAAATGTATCGCGACGGGAAAGTCTGCTATTAGTTACCTCTCCAGGGTACTGAAGAGCAATGGTGTCACTCTGGAGACTAAGATGCATCTGGTACAGGCTATGGTCTTTGCAATCACTTGTTATGCATCAGAGAGTTAGACAGTGACTAAGGAGGATAGAAGGAGAATTGACGCCTCTGAGCTGTGGTGCTGGAGAAGAGTATTGAACGTACCATGGACTACCAAGAAAACAAACAGATTCATTCTGGAGAGGGTTAAACCGGGCTGCTCCTTGGAGGCAAGAATTCTTTGGACATATGGTAAGGAGGGACTGGTCCTTGAAGAGGGGCATCATGCTTGGGAGGTTGGAGGGACAGCGCAAGAGGGGAGACCCTCTATGAAGTGGATTGATTCAGTGACTGGAGTAATCGGAATGGGTGTTTCAGAGGCAATGCGATTGGCACAGGATAGAGCAGGGTTTAGGGCTGTTGTACATAGGTTTGCTATGAGTCACAAGTGACTCGACAGCACAGAACAACAACAACAAAATGGGAGTTGTGCTACTAAACCAAAGTCACTGCCTCTATGGCAGTTTGAATACACCAGTAGCTCCAAGGGGGGGGGGGATGATGTGCAACTTCCTCCTGTGCCATTTACAGCCTTGGGAACTCACTAAAGGTTCAGCTATTAGTCAGGTCCAACTTAACAGCAATGAGTCTTCAAAATGATGCAAACAGTTAAGTGCTCAGCTCTCAACTTAAAGGTTGGTAGTTCAAAATTACCAGAGTCAAAAGAAAGAGCTGATGATCTACTTACAACAATTTACTGCCATGAGAACTCTGTGGAACTCTGTTCTAAAACAAGGTGGTCACCATGAGATTGAATTGACTTGATGGAATTGGACTTTCTTGTTTTGTTTTAAGATGGTAGTATTAAATGAAGGCTTTTGTAATTCAAATCCAATCAGTGGATCGAAGTTTGTAACACTGGAACGTCCATCTGAAATGTACTTGCAAATAAAAACTAAAAAGGGAAACAATGACAAATTAAGAGCAGCAAATGGATTTATCTATACTTTTAAAGAATAATTAGCTTCAATAAATTGAGAGAAAAAATTAAGTGAAACTGCTTTTGTTTACTAAAAGCAAGCAAATAAAAACAAACTCATGAACCATAGACTGTTTGAGTGGCAGGAACCATCAAGAGGCTGAGCAGGTGTGGTCATGGGTTTGGCTCTGCTGTCAGCCTGCTGGGTTCAGATTCCTGCTTTGCCACTTATTAATGGTAAATAGCCTAATATCTACTTCTGTCAAGTAGACCCCAGCTCATGGCAACACTTTAGGACAGGGAACAACCGCCCTATAGGTTCTGTAATGTTTACAGAAGTGGCCTCCACATTTTTTCCCCATGGAGCACCTCCTGGATTTGAAGTGTTTTGGTTAACAGCTGTGCACTTAACCACTGCACCATCAGGATTTCTAATGATGGTAAGACCTTGGGCAAATATTCCCCTCCCTGTGTCTACTTTTCCTTATCTTTAAGAAGACTAGACCATCAAAGCTTCCTATAATAATTAAACCTACACAAATTATGGCTGACATTGAGAAGAATGGAATCCCAAAACACTTGATTGATTATGCTCATGCAAAACCTCTATCTAGACTGTGATCTGAACAGATGAGGGGAATTCTGTACGGTTCATAATCAAGAAAGGAGTGTGTCAGGGATGTGTCCTTTCTCCATACCTTTTCCATCTATATATTGAACAGATCATTTGAGAAGCTAGACTTTATGAAGAAGAATGTAGCATAATGATTGGAGGAAGACCAATAAACAACTTGGATTGTGCAGATGACACAATGTTGCTTGCCAAGTGAGGAGGGCTTAAAGATCTTGCTGCAGAAAGTCAAGGACTACAGCCTTCAATATAGATTGCAACTCAACATCAAGAAAGCAAAAATTACCAGCAGGTCAATAGATAGAATCATGACAAATGAGAGTTTGAAATTGTTAATGATTTCATCTTAGATTCCCAGTCAACACCCTTGGCCATCAGGAAATCAAAAGATAACTTGCACTGGGAATATCTGCTATCAAGGGCCTCTCTAGAATGATAAAGAACAACAAAGTCAGTCCAGAGACTAAGGTACACCTTACCCACATCATGGGCTTCTCACTTGTTATGCATCTGAAAGCTGGACAATGACTAAAGATGACAGAAGAAGAACCAATGCCTTTGAGCTTTGATGCTGGAGAAAAGTATTGAAGATCCTATGGACTGCCAAGAAAATAAACACATCTGTCCTGGATAAGTGAACCTGGAATGTTTCTTGGAAACAAGGGTGGTGAAATTCTGTCTTACATATTTTGGGTATGTTGTCAGAAGGGGCTAGTCCTTGGAGAAGGACATCATACTTGAAAAGGTAGAGGGTCAACACAAGAGAGGAAGACTCTGATGAAATGGATTGGCCCAGTGACTGTGGCAATGGGTTCTGGTATGTCAGAGAGGGTGAGGTTGGCTTAGAAAGGGTCAGAGTTTGAAGTCATTGTTCATAGGATCACCATGAGTTGGAGTGTACTTGACAGCATCATAACAACATTGATAGGGTATAATAAGAAATATGAATTAACATATGTCAATCACTTAAGCTGTATCTGACACATAGCAACTACTCAAAAAAATCACCTTTTATTATTATTAAGCATCTCTTATGGTACAGAGTTTAAGCACTTAGCTCCTAATAAATGTTGGGATTCCAGCTCACCAATAGTTGTCCAAGAGAAAGACCTAGCATCCTGCTTACGTAAAGATGGCGGTGAGGCCTTTGAAACCCTGTGAGGTGTTCTCTGTCGTGTGCCGTCATTCCGAGTCAGAACCTCCTCACCAGGAATGGGCTTGCATTGCTTTGTTTTGCTTTTCTCCTTATTAATAGCACTGCAGCAAAATGGTAAATTAAACCAGCCAGAAGAGGCAGTGGCTTTGGGAGAGGTGAAATGGCAGCCAGTAATATATGTTTTCTGTTTTTTGTTTTTTGGGTTTTTTTGGGGTTTTTTTCAGCTCAAAATTCAGCAGTAAAATTAAATACGTCAGTAGTTTATCGGAACTCAGTGGGCTGATTCCAATGGATTGCATCCACATCCCAGAAAGCATCATCAAGTAAGTCCTCCAGGTTTAGAAGACACGGTAAGAGAAGCACTGAATGTTTAGAGAAGGAGCTGGGACCGGAGCTCACTTGAGTGTAGTGGAGAAAGGGCATTCTCTTCTTTTTAAAACAAAAGTGAAATATCCTCCGATAAATATCTTTTCTCTTATCACCTAAGCTTGGAAGCAGGAGTGGCATCCACTTTTGTAATAGTTTGCCCCCGAAAACCCTATGAACCTGGAGACAGGATGAAATTCACACAAGTGTTGAGGACTTCCGTTCATAGGGTCACTATGAGTCACCTATTGACAGCACTTAACAACAACAAACAAACTTATAACCTATAGTTAGCTGTTCTGTTTCTTTCAGATCCCCTGTCATACACTCATTTTTGGTATCACTGATGGTTGCTCATTCTCACCTTGACTATTACTATTGTTGTGGAGAAAACACACATTTAATATTCATGAGCACATCAGGCTCCAATGACCTTACACAAACACAGTGGGGTCTTCACGTAACTTTGACTTCTTTTAGTCTTATAGTGGGTCATTTGTCTGTTTGGCCACAGAACGTTACACAGGAAAATTACTCTTTCTGTTCTCTTTTTTTTTTTTTCATGGAACTTTCCCCCCAGGGTGCTTTTCAGATGAGCGATTAGACAGGTGATGTGTGCCTAGTGGTGGGCAGGCTGGTGATAAATGATTCCTTTGCTCAGCAGGGGCCGATTACCCAAGAAACAAGGTGAGCATAGACTTACTTGCATTTACTTATTAATCTATAGTAGAAATGTCATGTTTTCCACCTCTACAGATTAATAAGTAAGTATGACTAAGCCTTGGTTACCTTGCTTACTGGGAACTCTGTCCTTAAGAGACTGAACATTTGAAAAGGGGCTTAGATTCTGTAGAAAGGTACTTAGAGTTGGGGAAAAGACTGATGCCAGCCATACCTAGAAGTAGAATCTTAAGTGTGTTGAAAAACATGGAATTGCTCACTAAAAATTAGTACACAAGCCCAACTAAACCTGTACTATCTTGAGTGTAATGAAAAAGATGCTCTCATTCTCTAAAAATTAGTATATAAGCTTAAGGAAGTCTGTACTTACTCTGCTCATTTGGCAAAGCACCACTTCCACTGAGAACAGAGCAGCTCTGTGACAGCCTACAAAGCTAAATATGGGCACTAAAAGGCTCAGGACTGTACTAAAAAAAATAGTGGTGAAACTTCGGTGTAAGTTAACTCGACTGCTTGTGCTGAGATTTGCAAACGCAGACTCCAAGAGAAAGAGCACTCCTGTTGGTTCTGGTTGCAAAGACCTCGTGTTTGCTATGTATCGTGTTCTTCCATTGTGTCTGATACACTCATTTTTTTACTTACACTAGAATTGAGAGGGGCTGAGCTATCAGCTCAGAGCAAATCAGACAAGTACCTTCTGTTGGCATCCATAAGCTAAATGGATCTCCCAGTTTGGATTTCCAAAATATAGAGCCCCATCACTTATAAAAAAGCGCGAGAGCTGGAAGGAAAAGGCTTTCATTGAACCTATGTACGCCGAGCAGAGAAAGTCTCTACTGATGTCAGTTATTTAATCCCCATAGCAAACTCTCATTTTACAGATGAGGAGAAAATGACTTAGTGAGAGAAAAAAAACAACACTTTTGCAATGTCAAATGACCAGAAAGAGATGGAACTAAGCTCCACAATCTCCACACCTTTTCCATTAGATCCCTTCCTTCTACATTCAAAGCTCAGGAGTAGATGCATATGGTTTCCTTACATGTGAATATCAGGCATGGATACAGGATACCCACTGAGCTTACAATAGCCAGTTGGCTCAGCTGCCATCACCAATTGCCTCAACTGAATCAGCCATGGAAAACCATCTGGAGTGTGCCTCCACTCAGACATAGATGGAATTACCGTGAGTCAGAACTGACTAAACAGTATCAGGTTTCTTAGCAGAAAAGGAGAGATGGCTAATTGGACCATCCACTTATGATAATGCTGTTTCCTCTTTGCAAGAGACATTTTTCTTCCTGGGCAGATGATCAGTTGGACACATTGGACAGTTAGAGGTAAAGAATGAAAAAGGGAGGAGAATAGGCTTTGGAGGGTTAGATTTGAGCCTCTCCTCTTACCTGTTAGTGTTCCTGAGACTTCAGGCATCCTCTTAAAACTCTATCTCATCTGGAAGAGGTGTAAAATGGGGGATGCACACATAATGTAATTGTCCTGAGAGCTGAATGAGAATCGTGTATATACTAAACATTTAGAAAACCACCTGGCACAGAGCTGGCAATCCAGAATGTCACTTGTGATGACAGTGTTATTTTTCGAAACTCATCACATCAAATGTTTAATTGAGAACATCTGTACATGTCAGTCTTCAAAGGCTCCATGTGGAGAAACTTACTTCAGGAGGAAGGATTCCATTTGGAACTAGAGATGTGCATCACTTATTGAGCTTGATAAGTTCTGTGAATTCGAGTATTAGCTGATTTGGATGTTATTTTATGTGTGTACACACACATCCCACCCCCCATATTGGATGAGGAGTAGAGGCACAGAGAGATGAGCATGGTGACCCAGCATGTAGGTGCCTGCTGTGACATCCCTTTGGCACAACTTTCTGATCAAAGGGAATCCCCATTGTTGGTGCCCAGAGCCAGGATCAGGGAGCCCCGGCCAGGCAAGCACCACCAGCATTGTTACAGAGAGGGGAGGAGCCATGGAAACCTCTTCCCTGCCCTGGGAGTTAGGGCTGCAGAGCTTCTGCTAAGGAAGCTTCGCCTGCTGGGCCCATGAATGAAGCCAGGAAGAAGGGAAATAAGAGGGGACAGGGATCACCACTCATTTGCTCGGAAGGCTTGCGGTTTTGAAACAATTGTTGTGGTTATGTGCCTTCAAGTCAAAACTAACCTATAGATGACCCTCCAGTGGGTTCTCAGGGGTAGTAAATCTCACATAAGGAGATTGCCCATCTTTCTCCCATGGAGAAGCTGGTGGATTCGAACCATGGACCTTTGGGTTGGCAGTAGCTCCTTACCACTAGGCCACCAGAACTCCTAAAAACCATTAGAAATAATAGAAGGAAAGCCAACTTCCCTGTCAACACAAAACTAGTTACATGCTCACGTGTATGCACTTGGTTGGGAGAGGCTCAAACAGGTGTTAAGCGATGCAAACCTGTATTTTCGCAAGGAAGAAGAAATGTGAAGTTATGTGTGTTCACCTGACATGTCCATGTTTTCATTCATCTATCTCATCTGGACATCTTTTTCTGTCATTTATCATATTGACGCTCATTGTCTCATTTTCACATTATACGGTTTTAAACTGATACATGCCATGTCTACTTCCTGTTATCAAATAAAGTCAAATAATCTGATCTTGGCCAGTCAGAGTGATTCAACTGTCCTGGAGTCCATCATCAAAAGGACTGTGTGAAAGAAAACCTTGCCCAGCCTGGAATTGCACTTATAATTAAATATATATACCATTGATTATATCTAATGAAAATAAAATTTCTCCCAAAGGGGGGCTTGATTATTGTTAGTTACTCTTTCACTACTTCTTTGACTTGACTTTAAAATTTTTACTTGTCATGTTTTTCCATCTTTGTTTCTTTTCCTCACTGCATCCATTTTTTGTCTCGTAAGGTTCGATGAAGAGAGATCTTTTAAGAGGAGTGTGAGGTAAAAATCTCCTCTTCTGTGACTCACCTGGACCTCTGTGCGCGCACCAGTGTTCCACTCGTGGGTGACCTCAACATGCTACCCAGTTTGAGAGTGTCCTCTGGGTCCCGGTTTACCAGTGCCGTCTTTGTCTTGTGTCTAAAGCTGTTGAGGTCAACCTGATTTGCAACTGAAACCTCCTAATCCTCAGGCATCCCTGACTTGGCCCTGGCTGACTGCAAGCTAACTGTTCTCAGAAGGTGGATTTGAAAGGTCTCAGCTTTACAGGCAGCATGTTTCTGGTCCCCACTGCCACTTTTCTACCTTCCTTGTGAAGGAATTGGTGAAGTATACCTCGGTTGGCACTGAAGGGGAGGAAATGGCTCAGCTTTCATGGAAGAAGTGGCTCCCAGGGCCCCAGATGAGGGTTTCTCAGAGCACATCCCTTACATTTGGCTCGGCTTTGCTGGGTGACTCTCTCACGCTCTGCTTGCTTCCCCCCCACCCTTTTTTTTTCCTTTTTTTACCCCGGTAATTTTGATTGTGCAGACTGGATGAAGAACTGAGAGAAGCAACCGAAGCAGCTAAGTACGACTCAGTTTTCATTTAGCAGCTGGCATGATGTTGGCTTGCATTTCAGGAATGAATCAGAGAAAACTGCATGCCTGGGGTATTCTGTTTGCATCCTGATCCTAATGCTCAACTTTAAAAATTCTCTTTCTCTTAAGAGACAGATGTATTTCTCTCATTCTTTATTTTTTTTAAAAAAAATTTTATTGCGTTTCAGCAAAAGTTTACAAGGCAAATTGCTTTCCCATCTGATAATTTCCACACAAATTGTTCAGTGATATCAGTTACATTTTTTTCACAATGTGTCATTATTCTCTTTAATGACATTATGATGGTTTCCTCTTTTATTCTTACCATAACCTTATGTTTATCCCATGACCTTGGTTATTTCAAGAAATTCATTTGTTACTCTTGCTGAAACTTTTTAACATAGTTAAGATTTTAGGACCAACAGTAAAAAAAAAAAGGTATCACTGACTCTGCCATATAAGATGTAACATTCTGATGATTATTAATGATATTGAGACACTTAGAGTTACTAAGGCATTTTGGGGATAAATGATGATGGCAAGTGAAAATTCAGAATATTTTTGTAGACTCAATTTCATGAAAAAAACAACCTTATTAAGTGGCTTGAAAATATGACTTAACTAGCATCCTTTAAGCTTTTTTAATAAATAGAGAAAAGTTACTATTCATTATTATTAAAAGATCATTTTATAAAAGGCAAACCCATAACTCTCATGCAAATATAAATAAAAGCCTATGTCAATGATCATTTGCAACTCATTTAATGAGGAACCAACAAAATGTTCAATCTAGTTCAAAGAACATTTGGGAAACTGGATATTTACCAGAAACTTCACAAAAGATTGTTGTTGTCATTGTTGTTAGGTGCTGTCAGGTTGACTACAACTCATAGAGACCCCTGAACAACAATCTGAACCTTGCCCTGTCCTAAACTATTATCACAATCTGTCATGCCCAAATCCAAGACTATTTAGGATAAAATTACTGGATTAGATGCACAGCTGGTTAATGTTCAACAGGACAATAAATGGAAATCTTGGGGTTCTCTTGTCCTCTGGGCAGAAATGATGTGCATCTCTACTGTGAAAAGTCTGCAAGCTGACAGCTGTCCTCACAGAGCTGTAAAATAGTCAGTGGAAAGTCAGTTAGCCCAGCATTAGTCCGAAAGAATATCCAGCAACTTCCTGTGCCTATATTTTCTGACACTGTATCTGAAATATACAAAAGTACTGTTTGGAAAGTTTGCTATGTTAAGTACTTAAGTTTCTTCCCCCTTTCTGTATTATTTACACATAATTTTTAGAACAATCTATTAACATAGATTTTGTTGTTATGTGTCATTGAGTCAATCACAACTCATAGCCACCCTATGCATAATAGCTCTACTCCAAGCCAATCTCACTGTCTCTGACACACCTACCAGTTACTTACCCCAGTTACTGTGCCAATCCATCTCATCTGGGGTCTTCTTCTCCTGTGCTGTCCCTGAACCCCTCCAAGCATGGTATCCTTCTCCAAAGACTGTTCCCTCCTGGCTCATGGCCAAACTATGTGAGAAAGAGTCTCAAAATCATGCCTTCAGGGAGCAGCTTGGTTTCATCCTCTTAAGGTTAGACCTATTAGTTCTCTTGGCAGTCCATGATATGTTCAATACTCTTCTTCAGCACCACTACTCAAAGGCATCAATTCTTCTGTAACCTTGGTCATTGTCCAGCTCTCTTCGAAAATAGATACTATATAAGCAGAATACCAGGATAATGTCATAGCAGTTATAAATTCTAAAGAAATAAAGTTTAAGTGAGACTATTCTTTGTCATTTTAAATGCCAGTTCTCCCAACAAAATGACCCATTTAGACATTTTTTTCCCCTACTGCACATTTTTATTGCAGGTAGCCCAGGGAGTTATTTGCCAATAGTGTGGATATTTTGGATTCGAGATGAAAGGGTTTTGTTTTAGAAAGCTTAATAATTATAATATTATTATAATATTATAATGTTATAATATTTCTTTTCTTTAATTTTCCTTAACTATAACTAACAACCATTTAGACTTAACATAACTTAAAATAATATCTATGTTTTACTCTCACAGAATCAACTTGCCCTCTTAATACACCTATCAAACAAGCTGGGGAACAAGGAATACTTTTTTTTTTATTACTTTTGTGTATGTGTACCGTCAAATTGGATCTGACTGGTACAGGAGGAGATTGCCCCTCCTTCTCCAGCAGAGCACCTGGTGGATTCAAACCTTGTGCCTCTAGGATTGCAGTGCAGTTTCTTGCCACTAGGCCACCAGAGCTCCCTTGAAACAAGGAAAATTTTAGGAAATAATTGGAGATTTAATCTATGCCATTAGCAATTTTCTACACACTGATTGCATTGAGTTATGAGATTTTCCAGAGAGAAATACAAATGAGTTTTCTCCTTCAGATTCACTTATTTTAGGATAGTGACAAACTTATGGAATTTAAATGCTAAATCCAAGACACCTCAAAAATGAGGTGAGTGGATATTAATAATTTTTTAGCTAGCCCCATTGCAAAGTCATGAGGTCAGGTTTCATCCATTTTTACCAAGATACTTTATCCCTAATAAATGTTTTCTCTTTCCAAGCTTGTTCTTTTCCTAGTTAGATCCCATATTAAAGCAGATTTTATTTATTTTTTTTTTTGTTTAGTCATAAAGGTTTCAGGAAGCTTGTTGTGGTGGTGCTGTTGTCTTCCTCAAATCCACCATTCTATTCTCTTTCCCTGATGTCCTGCCCAGGCTCCAGCCCGGGAATAAAAGTGTCCTGCATTCTAAAGGAAGTGCCTTGCTCATGCCTGCAGATGCTCGCTAAATCCTGCTGCACAAATTCCTGAAGATTCTTAAGAGTTAGATCTGTTGTTAAGGAGCAGTGCTGACACTGTTGTACATTAGAATCGCCTACGGTGCTTGTTCAAACACAGTATCCAGCATCTCGTTCTCAATGTTTCTAACTCAGCAGATCTAAAATAAGGCCTGAGAATTAGCATTTAGTTTAGCGGCAGGAAGCTGCGCTGTACTCTCGAAGGCACACGGACCAAGGCCACCAGCTGCTCTCAAGAGAAGGATGGGCAATCTCCTCCTGTGTAAGTTAACTGCCTCTGAAAACCCATGGAAGGTCAGCTGTGGGTCGGTTCCAACCCAATGGTACACAACAACAGTAACTTTCCTGTGATGCTGAGACTGATGCCCATTCTCAGTCTCAGGACTGTGCGTAAAAGTAAAATCTTGCCTACAAGTAAACAACTGCATAAAACTAGTTAAAGTTGTCTTCAAAACTCATTGCTGCTGAGTCAGGATTGACTCCTAGCTGCCCTTCCCATGGGTTTTTGGAGGCTGTAAATCGCACGGGAGGAGACTGTCTTTCTCCCTTAGAGCTGCCTGTGGATTTGAGCCGCCTGAGAGGTGCCTCCTCGGGGTTAATAGCTCCACTCTCCACACATGCCACCAGAGCTCCCTTATTTAGGAGCCTGCTTTTGCTTTTGTTTCAGCAGATAAGCAGCCTGTCTGAAGAATTCTCCCTGTTCTTCTGGCTATGGTATTAGGGGCAGAGGAACAGTGTGGAATCAGTGGCAGAATTCTCACCATCCAGGCAGGTCTGAGGACCAGGGTCGGTCCCTAGCCAGTTACCCCTCAAGCACAATCATCGTCATGAGAGGAGGTGTCACTGTTACCCCGATGCTGAACAGGTTCTGTGGGTCTGAGAAACAACTAAACCGCCTGGAAAAGAAAACAGTCAAAGGAATTCCTGTAGGTCACTACAGTCCAACCTCACTGTGCCTGGGGTGACCAAGAGTCAGGGCCTGACTCAGTCACAGGTCACAACAACAGCATTGTAAAAGGAAATATATTTGCACATTGGAAAATGTACAAGAAAAAGAACTCTTTTTTCCCCTCTCTTTTTGGAATTGTTTAATTTATTTTTTTCAATTAATTTCAATGAACATTAACAGAGATTTTGGATTTCCATTCTGTTGAGCCCACACTTGATGGCAATGTCTTAGAATCCTATCATTTCAGGACATCAACTATGTCTCCTCAACGCCCTTTCTGTCTCTAAAGTGTCCTTCAGATCCCTGTGTGTTAGGATTTGGGGTTCAGAAAACACAATCACTAAGGTAGCTGGTTAGACTAATGAAACCTCCTCGCTCACCCTCCAGCCAGTTTTCAGAGTGTACATTGCCTGGAAGGAGAATGCCCACCTTCCACCGGGAGGAGCTGCTGGTGACTAAGACTGTCTCCAGGTTAGCAGCTTAGTGAGGATTGCACAGCACCATCTCCCAGGTTGGATTCTGGAAGGCAGACACCTCCATGTTCCATTAGCAAGGTTGCCCTGACTTTCCACATGGCCTTTGTTAGAAAGCTGAAGGCTGATTGTTACCTAAGGCAAACATGGACTTTGCCAGGGGACAAATCTACCTGATGTACTGACACAGATGATCAGCACTTAAATGACTTTCAGAAAGGGAAAAGCTCACTTTGACTTTTACTTAAAACTTGAGCTCTTAGGCAGACAAGAAAATCAATTGTATGCATGGAACTAGTCTTATTTTGAAAATTATGAAGTCCCCATCTGTTGCTTTGGAGTGACAGTATTAAATGGTTTGCAAATTGCTGTTTTCTTTGGAAAGATTACTCAAAGTTTAAAAGCAGAAAACTTCATTTTAAAAGACTTCCCTTTCTTGATTCCATTCCAGCTTGGTTTGGCTTCCTGAGCACATTGTTGACATCTCCTTGACTGTCCTTGTCTGCTAAAGTTGCTAGATACCCTCTAAAAATACCAGACCACCCGCAAGAGGTTGAGAAGGGAGGGAGATCCCTCCTTCCCCTCCAAGAGATAGCCTTCTGCCATTTCCACAGAATTCCTGACCTAAATAACTGAACCTCATGTGCAGATACACAAATGAGCCTGTGAAGTTACTCACGTTACAAAGGAACCCCCGATCTTAAGAAGTAGACTGAATACCAAACCCCACAACCCA